ACCAGAGCCCACTGTGTCCTAACCACAGACCCTGGATAGACTCCACAGTGCTGTCCAGCCCCCAGCCCCCATCCTTGTCCAGTGTCAGGACCAAAAGTTCTTCCTGTATCACTGAGATAAAGATGTTACAGGTTGACTACTGACAAATAAGGGCTTGCAAGTATGTCCTTCTTATCTGTCCATCCATCTGCCCCCTGACCTTTGTGAAACGCTATTGGCCACAGACTCTTCCTTCCTTCCTGCCTGCCCCCCTCGCCCTCAGTTCTGGCACCAAGAAGAAGGTTGTAGAGCTGTGAGATGAAAGGGTAAAAGTAGGGTTATAGGAAGCCAGTATTTTGGCCTCAGCTAAACATGTCTTTGCAACCCACAATGATCTCTTTTGGGGTACTGCACAAGCACCCCATTCGCTCACGTCTTCCTCCCCCCCCTCCTCTGAAGTCCTGGTGGGAGGGGACAGATGGCTACTTACACTGCTGGGGTGGAGGATGGGCAGAGGCAGCAGCAGCAGAGGGACGCAGATGACCAGCAGCAGGTTCCGAGAGTGGAGGACGGCCTGGAACAAGCCCATGGCGACCCTGTCTCCTCTCCTTACCCCTGACGCGATGCGGCCACAGCCTTGGCTGTGCACTGTGAACCTCTCTGTCCAGGAAGACTCCTTCCACCTTTCTTGGCTCCCAAGAGAAGTCTTCTTTGGTCTTGGGGGCCGAGAAGCAGGGCTGTCGCACCCTGTTTGCACAGAAGGCTGGACTCCTTGCCTTCTGCCTTAGGTTGGATTGATGAACATGGTTTTATGGCCATCGAAAAGGAACTGGGAAAGGATTATAAATGGGAACATGGTGAGTTCCCGCTCTGCATGCTTAGCAAGAGAGTAAACTTCATTCCAGGTGTCAGCAAAAGCCCTCAGAAGCAATTAAAAGTACGCTGTGGCTGCTGCTAGGGAACGGCCTTGAAGAATCGTTTAAAAGTTTTGAAACAAAAGCAAAAACACACCACTAAGAGCCTACTGTGCTCTCCATCACCTTCTGTCTCTCTGATGGCCCGTGCTGAGCAGCATCTGTGTCATCTCTTACCTGGCTCACTATTGGCAAAACCCTGGTGACCTCTGGACTTATCACAAGCACCTGCTCTGCTCAAGAAGCCCAGGCAGCCCTCAGATGGCACTGCTGTGCTCTCCCAAGCCTAGATACCTTCACTTGTTTCAAAATTCTTTCCTTCACATTAGTTTCTTATCATTTGCCTGGAGCCTGGGCCTCCAAAGCAGTGGGGGAAAAAATCCCAAGACATTCCTTTTTGTCACAGGATAAAAATTTGTTGGGAGGCCCACCTTTGACGCCCATCTACCAATGGGAAGCAGGGACCGGGGCAGTAGCTCCTCCTATCCCTCACAGCCAATCAGCAAGTTGCAAAGAATGAGTCACTATCACTTCCAAAGGCAGTTCCTGATTGGACACAGCAGGGGCCTGCTGATTCTGCAGGATCTAGGCAGCTTGTAAAGCTTATTTTTCCATTTCTCAAACATCCTAGGGGCCGGAGTGCAAGCATCATCCTAAACATGATCCCATTTCCCCAAGCACTGCTTTGTTTCCAAGCATGAGACACATTTTTTTTTTTTTTTAAATTTCCCTGGGAGAGTCACTTGCTGACCTGATTTTTAGGAAGATAATGCCAGTGGTAGCAGGGAGAAAATATAATACTAATTCTGGATAAATTCATTCCAGAACATACAATATAAAGCCTTTCAGATTTCTCTTCTGACAAAGATCGTTTCAACACCTGGCATGCAAAGGTCTGAGCAGGGAGGAAGTACGAGCTGGAAGAGAAAGACCTCGGAACTCCTTGGAAGAATGAGAAGGGTCGTTGCATCTTTGGAAAAGTCTGCATAGTGTTTCAGGAAAATACCAGGATGCATGTATTCTCTGCGGATCTTTACTCAAAAGGAAGTAGGAGGCCTTCTTTGGTTGGTATGTAGGATAGAGGTGGAAAGATGGGGAGAAATGGATAAATTCAGGGATAAAGCCTCAACAGTATTAGACTGTGGAATTTCTCCTGCTTACAGATCTGCATAAGCACTTAGCATTTGGAACAAGGAAACTAGAACAAAAAAGACCCTGAAATGGCAGTCCATGGCAACATCATCTTCATTTGGGAGATGCTGGCCAGAATCAAGAGAGATGAATAGGATTGAGAAATGGTGTCTCTTAAGATCTGCAGCAATAGCTGCAGCTGTCTAAAGATAAAGTAACTAGGTGACTTCACATCTAATGTAAGTGCCACTGTGGGCAGATCTTAGCAGTTATCTTGTAGGATGGACTATGATCATTCATCTCTTTGCCTTCATGTTGAAGGCTTATTTTAAAGATTATATTTATTACATTCTGGCTTCTGTTTTTTTGGGGGGTGGGGAGTAATAATTTTGAAACTCAGAATGAGCAAGACCATGAGTGGTGTTCTGGTGGTAACTAATCAGGAGATGATAAATAATAAAAGAACGGTGGGAATCAACATTCCCTGTCAAATCTAGGAGCTACTTCAGATTCTTTGGTGAGGTAATCTAGGATAATAAAGGTTTTGGTTAGTTTAGTAATTTTAATTGTTCCATTTTTATTACATCCTGGGTGACATTTATCAAATAAGATGAACCATCCACTGTCAAGATGAAGAAAACACTCCCCAGAATGCAATGTTAATGAAATACAAGGAAGATTTTACTTGTATGAGGTTCTTAAAACAGTTAAACAATTCTCCTTTAAAAACATGTTCATTCTTTCTTTTCTTCTTTCTGTCCCCTCCCTCCCTCCCTCTCTCTTTCTTTCCCTCCCTCTCTTCCTCCCTTCCTTCTTTCTCTTTCCCACCCCAGGTTGGAGCCCAGCCAGCCACATGATCCAGTCACCAAGCATCCATCACCTCCCCAGACCCTGTGGCCTCAAAAGAACAGTTCAACTCTTAAGAACAGGAAGTAGAACCATGAACACCAAGGCTGGGAGGAAGGGGCCGAGGGAAGTTGTTCAAAAGGTCTAGAATTTTGGTTTTTCAAAAAAAAAAATAATCTTAGAAGTCTGTTGTACATAAATGTCCGTGGGCTCAGGAAGGAGGGCCAAATAGACAGGGTCTGATCTGGGTCTGATCTCCAGCCCTGAAAAGCAAAACAAAATGAAAAAAAAATTCCAAAAACCAATGCATATACTACCATGCTGTATACTTAAAAGTAGTTAAGAATCCAAGTTAGATGTTATTTAATAGTAAGGTATTAAAGGAAAGTAAGGGATATTGTACAGTCACTTAATGAGCACCTAGATTTAGGCCAGTTTACCTTCTGAAATAAGATTTGAGTCAAGATCGCTTGACAGAGCAATGAAAGTTTCAACAGGCAAGATGTTTGTCATTGTCCAGTGACACCAGAGATAACCAGCAAGGAAGCCTCCAGATTTTTTTTTTTTTTTTTTGCTGGTCCTGGGACTTGAACTTAGGGCCTGGGTGCTGTCCCTGAGCCTCTCTGTGCTCAAGGCTAGTACTCTACCATTTGAGCCACAACACCACTTCCAGCTTTTTCTGAGTAGTTTATTGGAGATAAGAGTCACTGACTTTCCAGCCCAAGCTGGTTTTGAACCGTGATCCTCCTAAGCTAGGATGACAGGCATGAGCCATCACTGATGTCCTGTGCTTCTAGAATGTTTTAGATCTCTGTTTCCCAGCTGTATAGAAATTGCAGAAATGCTCCCATAAGTCATTGGCAAGTTTTCCCTATATTATTCCCAAATTAGTCTCTGGAGAAATACAATCACATGCAGTTGTGTTTATGTGTAGAATGAGGTGTTAATATGGCATATTGGGCAGTTTTGTTTCTATCCAGTTTCCTTCTCTATTATTCATGAGGATAGAGATGGTTTTTTTGAGGTGGTCATAGTAAGCATATTGATTATGTATGTATATCAAGATGTTTAGAAAGCTTTTTGTGTGAAAAATTAATCTGCTCTAAGAATAAAATTAATCTGTCTCCAAAATAAGAATCTAGTTATCCAAAACAATGTTTTTATTTGCCTTTAAAAAGGCTGTACATTTTTTATATTACTTTTTTCAGTCATCAATTGCCACCTTAATTCAGATCTTGACTTATGAACATAACATGCCTTTCATTTTTTGGGTGATGAATTGTCATTGTCAGTGATTTTTGGATTGCTCTTATTCATACATACCCTACCTTGGGAGCAGCTACTTGTGTTGGGAAAGATAGACCGGGAAGGAAGTTCTCAGATCCATTCTGACAGGGTAGCATCTCAGAGTGGTCTGCAAGGCTGATTGTTCGGGTACTGCACAAAACCTAGGGAGTGAGGCATTGCTGGTCCAGCCTACATCCAGGAGGTGTCACAGATAAAATGTAGCTGTGTGTGAGGTTCATCTTCTCTGTACAATCCCAACTCTGTCGGCACAAAGACCTTTGTCTATCCAAAGAAAGTGTCACAGTGTGGGGCTAGGTTGGAGGGGAGATGTTTCTCTCTCTCCATATATATATATATTTACACATATTTATATATACATATGTGTACATATATACTTGCATAAATATATATACACATATAAACATGTATATAAATATATACATATATCTACATATATACATATACATATATATGTAAATCTCTCTCTCTCTCTAGATATAGATACAGAATCTTGCAGAGTGAGCTCCAGCAGTTAGAAGACCTTTCAGATGCAGACTTCTACCCGTAGCATCTCACAGTGGGTAAATGACTAAAGAAATTACATAGGTAGAAAGAATCTGCAGAGATTCATTCACTCTTCCATTAGAATGTTTTGAGTGATTACCTTAAGATACCCAATGAAACCTTAAGACATCATATATATATATATATATATATATATATATATATATATATATATAAATTTGTATATACACTCACACACACACCCTCTATAACTCTATATAGTTCAAGTATATATTAAATTACTATTTCTAAAATGAATTATTTTGGCATTTGAAAGGGTAAAATTGAATCATCTGACATCATTTTTATTTGGAGCACTCAAATCTCAACTCTGATGATGCTAAATTATTTAGCATTTGGACAGACAAGTATGGGCATTGGTGTCACCTCTTTCCATAGGAGAATCCTCTCAGTTAGCTTGGCATCTCTGTTCACAAGACAAATTATCAATGGACTGGTTGCATTTCTATATGTTCCCTTCCTGTTTCCCTGTCTTAGAATAGCTTCAGAGAGGAGGAGTGAAGACATGCATGTGGCAAAATTACTTACATTCAGCCTGAGACTTCTCGATGGCTTTTGGAAAAGTCAAGTATATCCTGGGCTAACAACATATTTATTTGAATGTATAGCTTTCTCTTCTTTATATTTACTATAGAATTTTGAGAAAATGTTCATTCAACCCATTGCCCTAGTCCTTTAAGACAAAAGGAGTCTATCTCCCACTTTGTTGCTATGCCTAAATCTCCATGAGATCTTCTTTGTTCTATGGTGTGTGTGTGTGTGTGTGTTGTGTGTGTGTGTGTGTGTGTGTGCGTGTGTGTGTATCACTCTGTGTCCATGCATACCTTATAATTCTGTATGTCACCAAGCAAACATCCTGCCTTTGAAGGCATCCCACATGACCATTCCCAATCTGTTTTCTAGCTCATGTTGCATTATGACACACATTAGTTGTGTCCATCAGGAACCAATAGAAAGCAACCTACCATTGGGGTGACTCATTTTATGTCTGCTACTCAGTATTGGTGGTGTGTACTTGATTATTGGCCTCTATAAGTAGAATAGACAATAAACTTTCTGGATGTCTGTGAGTGTTGGTCTCCGCCTCAAGGTCCTGGTGTGGGCCATTTGCTCAGGGAGACACTGTAGGTCCTGAGGACCGCACCAGGTCATGCCTCAGGGCCTGGAAGAGGCTAACAAGGGACTGGGTCCAGATATCCTTCTGATACCCTTGGGACAGGGTTGTGCGGTAGGCTGCATAGGCGAGGGTCAGTGCTGTCCTTTCAAAGTCTTCTTTCTTGAGGACACCAGGGCGGCTGGCCAGGCTGGCACTCAGCCTGCGAATGTCTGGGATACGCTTAGGAATCACATCATTGCAGATGGTATGGAAGTTGGAGGCCTTCCGGAAGGAGGCGAGTTCTTCATCCTTGATGGAGATCCTCAGGTCAGAGCTGATCTCTAGTTCAGCCAGCAGGAACTGGGGAAAAGCACAGGATGTGGAAAGACATGAAGCCAGCCATTGCTGAAGACACAATGAAGGTCATTTGCATAGATGTTCATAGAAGAAGGTAGCTACAAAAGACTTTGGAATGAATCTATGACAACTTGGTTCCGGTTCTTTCTTCCCACTTATTAAGTGACCGTGGACAAAGGATTTGAATTTCCTGGTGTAAAAATAACATCTACTTCATTGAGATGCCATGAGTGGTACGTAAGACAAATATGGGCAAATCTAACAGAGCCTGGCATAAAGCCACAGTGCCTTGACTTAGGTGACCAGATATTATTTCTAGTCACAGATGGATCACTTTCATGCACCCAGCAAAGATCTAAAGCTCAAATGGACTATTCCAGATATTTTTCAAGCAGATGCAGAGAATTGAAAGGATGTGGGAAATTAATTGTGCTAGAGATTTAGCAGTAGGCAGAGATTTGTCCTCATTTCTCACTAGCTTGCAGGATAGGGGCAGACCTTGTCATTTGCCTTCTTGCCCAGTACCAGGCTTCTCGAGCCTGTAATGATGAGACTCCAAATCCTACATCCTCTCTCTCTGCCTCCACCTTCCATTTTCTTCCATTATATTGGGGCTGTCTTCTAAAATGGCTCTGCTCTGTGATTCCCAGATTTCATCTGTGAAAAAATAATATGCATCTGCCAGTCTGCCACACAAGGCAAGGTAGGAAATCTCCAGTTTTCAGCTCCTGAAGACTGTTTCTTTCTTAACCAAACAGTTTTTAGTGCATAGAACCAGAATGTGTGTCAAAGTTGCAGAGGAATTTGAGGGGATCACAGTTGAACTCATATAATCATTGAACAACTTCAAGCCCGGAGAAAAATAGTGGCTTAAGAAAGCTCACACAGCTGAGGAACTAAAGCTTAGACCTTGGACCCAGGATCTTACTGCTGACCTGTACCAAGAAGCCTCAAAAGTTTTTTTATCCTGTGATTTGGAGGGGTTTATGGGAGGGAATCTTAGTGAAGCAAGTAGAAGTGATAGAGGAAGAGCCTTCAGGGTGGCTCAGACTTCTAGAAATCTAGCTGAGTGAATGAGACAGTGAATGGGACAGCCCACAGCAGGTTGGGCTGAGACAACCACAGGTAGCCTTGTCTGAACATGACTGACAAGTCATTCCACAAAATCTTTGCTTGGGAATTTGTTAGACTCTAGTGCCTGGGTGCAGGCAGTAGCACTTATGGGATAAAGCTAATCTTTCATTTCGTTCAGATTGAACTTCTAAAGTCATTCTTGCTATAGCCCATGAGGAAGGAATGATTGGACCAGGCACACCATTCTTTAGCCTGATAGCATTCTCTGACTTCCACAGACTAGGCTGGGCCATTCCCTGCAGGCCAGGTCACTAATATTCAGGGACTCAGCAAAAGTTCTTCAAAGAGGCGGAGCAGGTGCAATGCCTTTGAGTGATTTGGGTTGATGGGTTCTTTCCACCTACCTCGTAGAGCAGTTCCACTTCCTCCAGGGAGGTCTGCAGGACTGGGTTCAAGGGCAGGGAGGAAGACTTCTTTGGCCGATGGGCAGCAGGGAACAGCATGGCTAGAAGAGACAAGAGGATGAGTTCTTGGGTTTCTGGGTGTACCAGATGGGTACATACATGGGACCTTGTCCCTATCTGGCAAAGGGGTAGGTATAGAGTGAGTCTATGCGTCCTGTAGTATATCCCAGAACGATCCAGGCTTGTCAGACCAGTCATTTCAAGCCTGACTGCTGATCCAAACTATCTTAATAGATTGTTTTCCTTTGTGTATGTGGTTCTGGGGAAGTGAACCCAGGGCAATGTGTTTGCTAAGCAAATTTTCTACACCTTGAACTATGCCTCTAGTCTTATTGATTTTATTTGGCTTTTGAGATAGATTCTCCTCCTCCTGCCTAGATGGGATTAGAGGCATGTACTACTATACCTGGCGTGAGGAAGTTTTGAAAAATGTATCTGCCTAGGGATATGTTCACACTAGGGAATTTATATTAAAACGAAGCAAATGAAGTGAAACAGAAGCAAGCAAGCAAGTGACCCTCACATTCCACAACTGAGTCCCTAAAACGACAAACATTTCTAAAACCCAACCTTTTTCTTTTTATCCGTATATAGTTGCGGGTTTGTATAGTTCTGCCTACTTCAGTCATCTGATTAGAGCTGCCAAGAACCTGAATATAGGTAGCAAAAGAAGAGAGTTGCTACAAGACCCTGGCACTGAGCTCCTGAGGCCCCTGAGGGCGAGCTTAGGGGTTCAGCCAGGGCTGGCTAACGCAGTAGTGAATGTAGAATGACGTTGACGACTTGACAATGTTGTTTGCCCATGGTCTCAGTTAGAAATGGTAGCTGGCAGAAGACGGGTGGATGCAGATAAAAGGAGCTGGGAACTAGCTGAGAAGACAGAATGTGGTGGAGTTCGGGAATGATCAGGACGAACCATAGCTCTGCGGGATTGTCTGAGGCTAGGCGAGGACATGGCTACCCCACACTACCTCCCTGCACTGTAGAGAAATGACTTCACACCTGTTGCCAGATGGTAGAAAAGACTTAGCTGCTTTAAAGCACTTGGTTGTGATCTACCAGAAAGAAAACATAAAAAAAAAAGTAGGCTACGATGGATTTGCATGCCCTTCAGGTTGTACAGCATACTTAGCGTAATCATTACTGACAGCCTTGCTCATAGATAATTGTGCCCTTGAGCCTTCAAGAAAAGGGCAGATTATATTTAAGGTACTAAATTATGTTCAATGTGCTAAAGAGGGCAGGGGCAGCGTCAAGTATTTTAGAAAGATTTCATGCCAAGTGGTCAAAAATGAAACAACTTTGATGTTTCATTTCCGCTAAAGGAAAAGCTCACTGCAGGAATTTGCCACTTCCCAGAAAAAGCTGGTGAGAGGTAGCACTGATGGCTGGCGCCATCGCTGCATGGCGGCGTTTATCACAAGTTCTTCAAGGCTGGGATGAATAGGGCTTTCTGTTTCAGTTTGCCCATCAGTGCCAAGTAGAAGCACAAGGTGGGAAGGGTGCACTTTGGCTCTGCCTTTTGCTTAGTAGGGGATGAAATGAAAGTGTGAGCGGTTATTTTTCTGTATGCTTTTCTTCTCACATGAAAGGAAGGAGGAGGAAGAAACGATTTCAGTTTCTTTCCTTTTCCTCCCATAATTTCTATTTTATTGCAGAATTAAAGGTGTTATTCCTTTAACAGAGTTCACCCCCTCCATAGCAGATGGGAGGGGGTGGGAGGCTAGGGAGGGAATGGCATCGGGGTGAGCTCTCTGCCTGCCTCTAATCACAGCCATCCAATGGTCCTTCCTGGAAACTTACTGTGCTCCATTGTTTCCTCATTCAGCATGCTCACCCAAGTGGACCTCTCATTCTCAGAGAGACTAGAAGAAAGTACTTCCTGATTCAAAACTGAGATCAATAATTGCCACTCATTTCCAACAGCTCTTGTTCTCATACTTTGAGATATTTTGGTGGAGATAGTTAGAAACAGCCTCAGCCCTGTGGAGTAGGGGAGAGGCTAATTGCTGTAGGAAGTATGTGTGGTGAGTATAGGAATCATACTATACATGTAAATACATATACGCACATATGTATGTCAATGCACATGCATGTACACATGCATGCATACACATACATGTTTATGTGCACACAGATGCACACACACTTGTATGTATGTATAGATACATCTCATTTACGTGCCTGTGAATTTATCTTTGCAATACACACATGTATAGACACATGTATATAACACACATATGTGCATGTGTACATGTGATATACATATATGTACACACATCCTTCTCCCCTCCCCGGACAAACAGGCATCTATAATTCAGGATCCACCAACAGGACTGTGTTATGCCACATGGGCTGAGCTACTCCAGGCTCTGGGTCCACACATTTCTGATTCAGGTGTTAAACCATGTCTTGTCTATGTCTTCTGTTGAAAGACACCTTTGGATCTCAGAGTTAAGCTGTTAAAATGTGATCTCAGATGTAATTGATAACTCAGGAGCTACAGGTACCTGTCAGTGGTCTCTGTGCTTTCTTCTGGACTCAGAGAGTTAAGTATTAACTTCTCATTTCAGATGAAGAAACTTGGAAGTAAAGGAACTTGCCCTCTACCACCCAATTTGAGTCAGGACAGAGATTTCACTCTACATTCACACCTCAAAACAATGTTATCTCCTTGTAGGGATATCTGCTCAAAGACTGTGCTTTCTTCGCTTTTGAATAGCCAGTGAAGTTATTAGCGATGAATGAATGTATTTTATTATTAGTACCTTATTTCTTAAGTGGGTTTAAACGAATCACATACTAAAGAAAATCTCTAACTTCAGTTTATAATCATGTGACCTGCAAGGCCAAATGTCTATAGCCCCTAGGTTTGCTCTTTTGCTCCCTTCTTATTCCTTTGTAATCCCTGTCCCACACCTGTACCTGCGCACCTGCGTACAGCGGGAGGAAAACAACCGCTTTGTTAAATGACCTTCTTTTTGCTCATTTATTTTTTTTAAATTCACGCTGAAAAAGATTTGCAATGAACGTACATAAAGAGAGTGCGAGATATCATATAGAAAGTAACATTGGGGGGGGAGGAAGGAGAAGGATTGGGATTGGGGGGGAGGGGGGAGGCTGGGAAGGGATGTGAAGGGTAAACCAAAGGAGGAGGCTGCAATGCTTGGTAAGAAATGTATGCATTATCCTGCCCATGTAATTGTAACCCCTCTGTACAGTATGTTCACAAATAAAATTAAATTAAATTAAAAAAAAAAAAAAGAAAGTAACATTGGGGCTGGGAAGGTGGCTCAGTGGTAGAGCGCTTGCCTTGCATGCATAAGGCCCTGGGTTCCATTCCTCAGCACCACATAAGCAAAAAGAAAAAAGCCGGAAGTGGCGCTGTGGCTCAAGTGGTAGAGCGCTAGCCTTGAGCTGAAGAGCTGAGGGACAGCGCCCAGGCCCAGAGTTCAGGCCCCACAACCGGACCCAAAAAAAAAAAAAGAAAGTAACATTGACTTCAGTCTCCACCTTTCCTTCCCTTGTCTCTGAGGGGTCCCTGGTCTTGCCTGGAAGAAGCTCCTTTTACTTTATCTCATCGAGGTCATTGCTATCTCCCCACGTGTTAGCCCCTGCATACCGTCTTGCCTGGACATCCAGCCAGAAGGCACCCCAAGTGGAATGACCTACCTTGTAGTGCTGCTTGACCTTCTCTTTGACAGGCCAGGTTGAAATTCCCACCTTCCTCCATCCCTGTCATATATTCATTGTAACTCACCAACCAGGCAGTACCAAGGAGCTTGCTGGAAAGGAGGCAGATTGCAGACCACAGCCAGCCCACACAAGCACCCTGGTTTTACTAAGTCCCTGGAAGCAAGACTATGGAGATGACAGTGGGTGGAGAGAGAGGGAAAGCTCTGGCCTATGGAAGATCTTTGGCCAGAGTCTTCTGACCTTCCTCACTTTGTTTTTCTCCTGTGCCAACCCTTTGGAAATATGCTACTGTTTGGAGTTGGCCTCGTTCTTGTGTGCAGGTCTCCTGCGACAGCCTTGGAGAAGGTCAGTCTGGGAAGGCTCTACCATACCGGGACATGAAGTTTTGGAGGAGAAGTGAATGGGACAGTGAGACTAATGCCAGATGTATTGGATGTCAGTCCATTCTTCCCCTCCATCCAGCAGGGCCATCCGGGGCACTTCCTTTCTTCACCTACCCTCTGCTCTTCTTGCCAGCAAGTGCTCACAGCAGGACCTGCCTCCTGAGGTGGTGGTGGTCTCACGAGGCTGGGTGACAGTCTGCCTGCAGTGAGTAAGGTGTCATCAACACAAGCACTGGTCCCTGTGTGTCTGTGGCAGAGCATATACAACTCTCAAAGCACAGGTGGCCAGGTGCTGGTGGCTCACACCTGTAATCCTCGCTACTCAGGAGGCTGAGATCTGAGGATTGCAGTTTAAAGCCAGCCTGGGCAGGAAAGGTTGTGAGACTCTTATCTCCAATAAACCACCTGGAAACCAGAAGTGGTGCTGTGACGGTGGAGCTGAAGAGCTCAGGGACAGTGCTCAGGTCCAGAGTTCAAGCCCCATGACCAACCAAAAAAAAAGCACATATGAAAATGGCTTAGATTTTACCACACACCTGCAAGACTGTCTTCCCTACCACACTGTTTCATAAAGAAAAAAAATACAGGTTTTGCACCATAGAGACAGCCCATCAATTTTTTTGCAGGGGGCGGGGGTCTGGTCGTGGGGCCTGAACTCTGGGCCTGGGCGCTGTCCCTCAGCTCTTCAGCTCAAGGCTAGCGCTCTACCACTTGAGCCATAGCGCCACTTCAGGCTTTTTTCTTTTTGCTTATGTAGTGTTGAGGAATCGAACCCAGGGCCTCTGGAATGCAAGGCAAACACTCTACCACTGAGCTACCTTCCCAGCCCAGCCCATCAATTAATACATACATAGCTTCCACTTTTTAAAAAGTTGAGTGGGTCTTCTGTCAAATGAGAGGACCTGAGGTGTATGTGTGTGTGTGTGTGTGTGTGTGTGTGTTTCTAAGGTTCCTAGATTGGCCACACTAACCACAGGTGAGTCATGGGTCTTAGTCATGCTGACAGGGCTGCAAGGAGCAGCCCTGGGTCCTGGCATGGAAAGAATCACTCCTTCCAGGGCGGGATCCTAGAGAGCAGGTCTCGGGGAGGCTGGGAGAATGGCGGGAAGAGGGACAGCCCAGCAGCATGTATATTCCCTTTTTAGCTTATTTCTGAGTGAGGGAATCAGCTGGAGGAGGAGGGGGGAGGAGAAGGGAGAGGCGGAAGGAGATCTTACGGAAGGAGAGGTTGTTCCCAGGATGTTTGCAGGATAGATTTCAATCAGGGCTGCAGTGGAGTGGGAGATAGGATGAAGGTGGAAGGGATATACTGGGTATAATTGTTACACCTTTGGGTGTGACTCTGATTTGGTCTTAAAACGGTAGGAATTAGGTATTGGTATAATTGCAAAACAAATGTGAAAAGTAAAAGAAAAAAAAATACAACTCTAAGAAGACTTTTGATGCACGTTGAAGGAACTCCCTATCAGTTGGGGGGCGTAAACACATCTTGAATCACTCACATAGGCCTGGCTGCCTCATCATGCCTCCTTGTTGGATTCACCGGGCTTGGCTCTGGCTATCCTTGAACTTGCTGCAGACCAACCTTCCTCAGGGAGGAGGGAACCAGCTTCTCTCCTTAGGATGCGGCTGTGCAGAGAGCCTCTACCTTGCTTGAAGGAAAACATTCCCCCTTTTAATCTATTGCTAACGGCTGCTAACTATTGCTAAAGCTTAGAGATGTTAAGGGACTTGCCAGAGATCACCCAGCCAGTTAGAATGAGAACTTAAACCTTAGGGCGTGAAATGGCTGGAGTGTTGATGTCCTATTGTCCATCAGATCATCTCTTTTGGCTTTCTAACAATTTATGCATTAGGAAGAGTACTCTTATCTTTTTATTGCCTGCCACTTCTGAGATTTGAACTCAGAGCCTGGGCACTGTCTCTAAGCTTTTGTGCTCAAGGCTGGAGCCACTGCTTCATTCCTGGCTTTTTGTTGAGAAAGAAGCGGAGAGAGCAGTCTCACAGACAGTCCTTCCCAGGCTGGCTATGAACCGTGATCCTCAGATTTTAGCCTCCTGAAAAGCTAGGGTGATAGATGTGAGCCACTGGTGCTCTGTCAATTAGCTTTTTAATAGGCACGTTAATTAGCACCCCCTGTTTGACAATGCACTTGCAAGTGCTACCCAATGTCTGTACACACTATGAGCAGGGAGGTGTGTGTGTGTGTGTGCGTGTGTGTACATAAGGGGGGAGGAAGGAGAGGGAAGGGGAGACTCAATGAGGAGAAAAGGAAGATGCTTTCTCAGAGAGATCGTTTCTTCCCAGCTCAGGGCAGAGCACTGGGAATTCCCTAATATCAGGCTTAGGCACGAGGGAATAAAATCCCAAATAGCACTGTGGCTCTGCTCCCTCGCCTTGCACTTCTCTGCTCCCACACTGGTCTCTCCGTCCTTCCCTGACTCTGTCCTCAACAGGGGAGAGGGTGTCCATGCCACTCTGTCAACCTTGATCACATTTGGGTCAGACCTGATTTGTGGAAGCCCTATTTTCTCTCTTGTTCTTGCTGGGAGCATGAGCTATGTTGACTTTAGTAGTGGCAACAGTTTAGTTGAGACTGGTGCAGAATGGGCACTAGGAATTCTTGCTGCCTTAGTTCCTGACAGCAATACACTGTCTCGAGGTGCTGTCAGGGCTCTCAGGCACTGAGAAAAGACGCCATCCCAGCTCTAAAGGGCTCATCCTGAGGGAGGGGACATCAATGACAAAGGAACCTCCTTTGTAAGAGTCCCTTTCTTCTCATGGTGGCTTGGCAGGGGATGGTGGGCCAAGGGATGCCGAAGTGTTTATCTTTTCTCACCTGCCATTGGGCAACTGTGTCTGACTACAAAGATGCATCCAGTTCAGGGACAGTGCAGAGGTCTCCCTCTTGGCTACCCAGGCTGAGAGCCCCTTGATCTGGTCCATGATGTAACAGGCCTCCAGTATCTTAGCTCCTGTGGCACCTACTCAGCAGAGGTGGCACCTACTCTGAGAGGGTCTGCTCAGTGGCAGCAGTTAGAGAGGAAGCCAGGGGACCCTGCGCGCATTCTATGAAGTGGACAGGAGCCCTCTGGCAGGCCAGAAGGGAAATCCTTTGGGTTTGGTACCTAAGGTCCCAGATCTACAGCTTTAGATTTTTTTTTTTTTTTTTTTGCCCTGTAGTACTATTTCCCATCAGAAGGAGGATATGCCAGGAGTACAGCAATTGGCAGAGATGAATTACTATTTTTTATCTATAAAAAAGGGCCACAGGGCTTCTGATTTCCTTCCTTCTGCTTATCCCCTCGGACCCATATCCCTGATTATACTGAAGAAAGGCAAAGGAGCATCAAAGAAATGAGTACAAAGCAACTCACCCCGGTTCCACCTGCGGGACACAGTCGCCTGAGCACTCTGATACAATAGCAGAAGCAGCAGCGTCTTCCAGTACATCGTTTCTTCCCTGCAGGATGGGAGCCCAGGAGCTACAGGTAGGCCTGGGAGTTCCTCCCTGTGGGATGATGTGAATTCTTACCACCTTTCCCTTCCAAGAGTATGGTAATGTCCTCCCCCTGCCTCCACGGGGTGGAGTCAGCCAACTGCCTCCTGGGTGGGACAGGAGCCTGGACTTCTCTTAATCCGACTCTCTCTGGAATTGGGGGATCTGGGCTTCCACACAGAGACTCTGTGTTTTGAACACATCTGGAATGACTCACGGGGCATGTGATCTCCTTGGCAGTGGGGTGGATAAATATAATTTCTCGACTTGAGTTCCATGTGTTGGATGCGCCCACTGGAATTTTTCTTTAACAAACAGACCCAAGGAACTTGTTAGAGAGCTCGGCAAAGAAGTTGGCTGCTTTCTCCCATCCACACATACTACATCGGAGCCAGGGGCGGGGGCTGGAGGAGGGATTGGGAGGTTGCCCGGCTGACACTGGGACTGTGTCTGCTTTGGTGGAGTCCAGAGTTGCCCTTAGGACAAGCGGAGTCATTGTGAGGCCTGGGCTGAGTGTCACTGTCGCTCCCTCTGCCTGGGGAAATCTCGGGGCCTCGGGAGTCTTCCCTAGGGTCTCAGTAGAGGAGCAGTTGGCAGGGTGTGAGAAAACACAAGTGGAGAGGTGAGGTGGTGCCAAACTGTTGTATGTGTGACCCTGCACAGCTCGGAATCCGGGAGTCCAGAGATGGCCCTCTCCCCCCTAAGTCACCCCCTCCCCCTGCGTCCGCCATATTGTATTTGTTTTCCATTGCTGCAAGTAAATACCTGAAGCTGGTAATTTGTAAAGAAAAGGCATTGGTTTAGCTCACAGCTCTGGAAGACTAAGAGCATGGTCCCAGCTCTGAACAGTTCTAGCGAGGACAGTAAGAGGTGACAGCATAGCGGGGATGATGTGGATGCAAGGGCTGGCGTGGTGATGTTCAGAGCCAGGGAGTTTTAGGGGTCAGGCTCCCACTTTATAAAAGCTCGCCCGTGCCAACTAACTGGAGAGCAATGCTCATCCCTCCCAAGGGCAGTGTCCCATGTCCGAATTAATTGCCTTGCACTAAGCTCTGTCCCTTTAAAGTTCTGCCATCTACCACTTGAGCCACAGTACCACTTCCAGCTTTTCCTGTGTATGTGGTACTGAGGAATTGAACCCAGGGCTTCATGCATGCTAGGTGAGCACTCTACCACTAAGCCACCTTCCCAGCCTTAAAAAAAATCACTTTTATACATATGTATAAGGTATTCAATCACATTCCCCGTCCCATGGCTCTCTCCTTCCACCCTCTCCACACATAGATTACCATCATATCTTTGTTTTGATTTTTTTCAGGACTGTACATAGAAAATATGCATGATTTGTCTTTCTGAGTTTGGCTTATTTCACGTACTGTGGTGACCTACTCCATCCACTTTTCTGTAACAACACCCTTTCATTCTTCTTTATGGGATCAGGCACATTTCAAGTCCATTGAAGCCAGAGGTGGCCAGTGACGGCTGTGACAGGGGGCGGGGACAAGAAGATAAGGGCCAGCTCTGGGCTGGGCTGCCTGCCCGTGCAGCCACCAGTAGCCCTGGACTTGCTAACTGTGTGGCTCTGGTGAAGTTCCTTAGTCTATTCTGTCTGTGTTCCTCATCAGTGTGATGGAGATAACCACATTTTCCCCACCACGGGCTGGGAAGAACGGATGAATTAGTATCTGTAGACACTGGGAATCCTACCTGATGCATAGGAGGCATCTGGTGCATGGATGTTAGATCCACATGAAGAACTGGGCTCAGAGGGGTGAACTAATTTACCTAAGGTCACCCAGTTAGTGGAGCTGGGATTCTTTTTTTTTCCCCCGGTTGCTTATGGGGCTTGAACTCTGGACCTGGGCGCTGTCCCTGAGCTCTTCAGCTCAAGGCTAGCACTCTACCACCTGAGCCACAGCACTACTTCTGGTTTTCTGAGTAGTTTATTGGAGATCAGAGTCTCACAGACTTTCCCGCTTTGAACTGAGATCCTCACATCTCAGTCTCCTGAGTAGCTAGGATTACAGGTTGATCCACTGAAGCTGGAGCTGGGGATTTTTAACCTGGGTCTTTGTGTTTTAGGAGCTTGCATACAAAATGACTCTCTCCGTTTGTCTTAAAGACTTATGTTTTAAGTGGAGTGCTGGTTCACTGATTCTAAATGGGTGGAGAGAAGACTTGGTTTTCAGTGCTTGCCAGTTTCCCTGGTGAAAACACTCCTGCCAGGGCTGATTTCAAGCTACTGGTGGATTAGCAAACAGCTTGCAAAGTTTCTGAAATACTAACAGTGAGGTCTTGACAAAGTCCATGTGCATCATTGTGTCTTCTAGGCTCCATTTTACTGGCTCTGATACATTCCTGCTTTTGGTGTGGTGTTTCTCTTTATGTCCTTCATTTGTAAGTCTGCAAAGATTGTCCCCAAAGGACCTCGCATGGGGCTGAGGGCCACTGGATGTTTGTTGCTTGGCTCTGAGGCTGGGAAACCTCGGGTCCTGCCGTGTTCTTGCCAGCACTTCAGTGAAGAAGGAGCTGAGGTGAGGTGGCTGATTCCACCTGCCAGGCCACGGCAATCCAGGATCAGCCAGCGCAGGCTTGGCCTCCGTCCTGGACCTTGTCTTCTGCAGACTCAAATCCCCAAACTGTCACCTACTGATGACTACATAAGAGATTAGTGTTTGGATTTGGGCTGGAGATGAATGTGTGTTTACACTTCAATCCATTTAATAAGCTGATAAGCCAGCCCCCCTCCCCCAACACACACACACAGCTTGGCATGGGGAGGTAAATAATCTACTAGTTCTTAGGGAGCCAGATGGAGGCCTTGGGAAATGCTAGCCTAGTAGACTGAGTGTGTGTGTGTGTGTGTGTGTGTGTGTGTGTTGCCAGATTTTTCTTGTTCTTTCTGCAGTTCTGTGTCTACCTGCTGAGATCAGGAAGGAAACAGTAGTTCTGCCTTTTGAAACACAGAGCACAGAAAAATGATAATAGAGCTTCCCACCGCTGCTGGCCATGTAAAGAATAAATACCACTGAACTAAAGACAACGCTTGTTAGGTTTACTTCCACTTGAGACTCTCACTGCACCTCCTGGGGTCTCTCCACCAGCCTTCTTGTCCAGCTGCCTGCACCATGTCCGGAGTTCTGAGCACACACTTTGCTTTATTTCACTTCATTTCCACACATCTCTGAGAAGAGTCCATTTTTTCCCCAGGGCAAACTGAGGCTTAGGGAGAATAAGTAGCTCAGAGCTCATAATGACTAGATGGTAAAGTGTCTGTATCCTGAGCAGCAGAGTCTGGGTTGAAAGTGAGAAAACCAATGAAGTGGCTTCTATTTTGTATTAAGCATGAAGCTCTGGAGGGCATGCTGGGCTCCCTCCCCCCGCCCCCCATCACAGGAACAGGCCAAGAAACAGGGGGCAATGCTGTCTGCTTTGAGGGCTCTAGATATGGTACAGTCAATACCCATCTGTTTGTCATTCCCTCATTCCCTCATGCATTCATTCCTCGAGCTTTTTGTTTTGTTTTTGTAACATCTCTGTGCTCAGGGAGTGTGTGTAACATGCCAACTACGAGATAGTCTCTGTCATCAAGAACGTTCATTCTAGTGAGGGAAGGGACCTCTCCATGGACATTTGGCATGTATTCGGTGATAAGGATTTCCTTAGTAGCAACCGCAAGGATGAGGAGTACCAGCGAGGTTGACACTGAAGGTATTAGGCCTGAATGTTTGGAAATGGATTCTGGGGGAAGGCCTGGTGGAGAGGAGGTGGCACAGGGGAGAAAAGCATTTACTGTAGATGAGGAGCTGAAAGGGGTGGTTTGTTTGTTTTGGCTTGAATGGAAGAGCAAATATAAGCCTGAAAACAGTAGGAGATGTACTTGTGGGAAAGGAGGGTCTTATGAGGAGGAGTGGGGAGGGGGAGGAAGGGGAGAGAGGAAAAGAGAAGGAGAGAGAGGGGAAAGAGATCTACAAGAAGAGAAGTTCCCATTCTAGTCAGTAGGAAGAAGTTTGAATGAATGAGTGGGAGTGTAATGGGCATAGAAGATCAGGTCCACCTGTTTCTGATTTGGAAAGACACAGTATCATGGCACTGCTGTGTCCTTCAGGATGCCAGAGATGAGAGGAATCATAGATTTTTGGATCGTGAGGACTTTAGGGTCCAGCTCGCAACCCGCTCCCTTGGCTCAGTATCTAGGATCTGTGTCAGGCAAAGCCTTCTTCTTCCTCTGCGCAGCTAGCACCTTTAGGCTGGATTCTATTTTAAGGCTGCGAGTGAGGTAATTTGGTCTGACAACAGAAACACAGCCATAATGATGAGGTGCCAGCCTGTGAGGCAGAAACGTCATCTGGTCCTTTAGCATTGCCAGCGTAGATGACTTGGTGGCTCATGCCTGCTTGTGCTGGACCAGGTTACTACACCCTCCCTCAGTGTGGGGGTCCTTGTGCACAGCGTGTTCTCTGCCAGATGCTGATATTGTTGGGTTATTCAACTCCTGTGTCTAGGTAAGGTCTGAGCATCGCATTGTTGCTCACCATCTTGGCTAGCGAGAATAGTCTTGCAGAGACTAAAGGCCAGGGCTATCACTGGAGAGACCAGATAATCACAATGGAATCGCTCTTCTCTGTGCTGGAAATGCTGTCAGGAGGCAACTGCCCTGGTGGAGCCCGGAAGCGCACGTACACTGTCGCTGAAGCATCTGACCTACGATGAGTTCATGGTCCTGGCTTGCTGTAGACCCAAAGACTTCATCATCTCTATTTCAGACATAGCTGTTTTGTGTACAAGAGGCTAGGGAGAAGAAACTATTTTTATTTGACTTGTCCAGTGTGGGATCATTGAGATGAACAGTCACACCCTTTTGCTGAGGCTTTTTTTTTTGTCTTATCTTAGCACGGGTAGAGATGAGATGGGACAATTCTAGGTGGTCCCATCTGCCCATCAGGCTTTTCTTTCCTTCCTTCCTTCCTTTCTTTCTTTCTTTCTTCCTTCCTTCCTTCCTTTCTCTCTCTCTCTCTCCTTCCTTCCTTCCTTCCTTTCTTTCTTCCTTCCTCTTTCTCTCTCTCGTTCTCTCTCTCTCATTCTCTCTCTTTCTTTCTTTCTTTCTTTCTTTCTCTCTCTCTCTTTCCTTCCTTCCTTTTTCTTTCCCTCCCTCCCTCCCTCCCTCCCTTCCTCTCTCCCTTCCTTCCTTCCTTTTTCTTTCCCTCCCTCCCTCCCTCCTTCTCTCTCTCCCTCCCTCCCCTCCCTTTCTATCTTTCTCTCTCTTTTTCTCTCTTTCTTTCTCTCTCTCTTTCTCTCTTTCTTTCTTTCTCTTTCTCTCTCTCTTTCTTTCTTTCTTTCTCTCTCTCTTTC